AATTGAAAATCAATTTCTTTTCTTGAACAGATGTGAATATTGAGGTTGCAGGGTAAACAACCAAAATCTGGCAAGACCCGTGCATCTGAAGGGACGTCTGAGATCTGCTTACCTGGAGCAAGTGTCACTGGAGTCATAAACTGTTAGCAACACTTAAATGGATAATCTGATAAATTGCTGGAGGCTGTGTGTGGACTAGTGTGACAGCAGAAAATTCCCTAGGGCCGCATTCTTAGGTGGCACCATACCCTTTGAGCTTTACCTAGCAGCCATACCAGGTTCTCACAGGAAAGACAGCAAAAGATCTCTTCATGAAGCTTGCAGAAGAAGGGGAAGAGTACCAACGTTGTAAAATATCCCCAGAACCTTCACCATGACAAAGATCTACTCCCCAGGGATAAAAACCAGAGACTTAATGACCCTTAAGTACCCCTGGGGAAGGGCATATCTTCCTCTCCAGCCTCCTCTTGGAAGAGGGGATAAGGGTCAGAACTTTAAGGAATTAACTTGCAAATGCTGCAACCAAAGAAGCAAATACCTCCATCCAGTCCAGTGGTCCCCCACCTTGGCTCCACATTAGAATCGCCTGGGGAACTTTAAAAAGCCCTGACGGCCAGGGTGAACTCAGTCCAATGAAGTCAGAATCCCTGGGGATGGGACCAGGTATTAGTTTTTTTAAAATGGGTCAAAGCCCAATTCACACCAAGTTCTCAGATATACTCTTGACTACCTGGATCTGAGTGGCTTGACAGTTGAGTGAACAGGTTATGAATTATCTACTTTATAAGTATTAAGTAATCACCAATAAAGAAATCACTGTTTTTCTAGGCAATTGTAACTGTGCCATTAATTTTCCTATAAGTATATTCAACCATTTCTATATTTTGTTAATTTACTTTGACTTGCATAGAATGGTAAAACATGTAATCTGCTCACAGATAATCAGGGGAATCAGGAGCTGCTTGAAATATCTCCACTGCCATTGTTTCTACTTTCATAAAAATAACCCACCTCACACTTTCATTTTTCATTTTAGATCATTTCATAAGCTATATAATTAATCCTAGAGCTTCAAGGAAGGACCATGATGTGCCCTGATACGTGTATTCATTGGATTTGCATTTCTATTCATATCATAACTGTATCCAAATGCACCTGCACATTCCCTGTATCAGCAGCCACCTGAAATGAACACATTTTAATTTCTACTCTAATGGAGAGATGCTAAATTTAAGCAGAGGCTTGAAAACACATTGCAACCAGCGTGGTGGCACACAAGCCCCCACTGACTCTTTTATCTCAAATCTTGTATAGAGTTAAAGCTCCACCACAGGAAAGAGCTCTTTCTAGACTGAGCGATGATCACAGGTCCCACTCACAGTGAATACAATTTTCTATAGTTGCTGGGATTCCAAGAATCACCTGGACTGGACTCTAAGCAGATTTACCAGGAAGCCAATGAAGGTGAAGTTTCAGACCCTCTCAAGGTATATGGGCCACTTCTAAAGTCCTGGATGGTACTTAAGGTTTGTATCTGTCATTTCACATTCTTTGCCTTGAAGCAAACTGTATGTGTTAGAAGTGGGGCTAATGTAACTTGGTTGCTGTTCAGAAGGTAAGTACTGAATAAACTGCAAATCTGCATTAATGCAAAATTAACAAGAACTGGTTTAGTGCTTTCATCATACCCATAGAACCTAGCTTTCTTTCCTCTCCAACAGGTATTATTGTTGATCTACAAGCAACAAAGGCATGGTATGGAAGGAAGAGACTTAATTATCTTTGACAAAGGCAGGCTTTAAGCCCTCAAGGAAACGGAGAGGGTAGGGGGGGTGAGGCAAGCTTTGACTCTTTAGCAGATCCTAGACAACCTTCTACAAATAAAACCTGTTTTCTCTGCCTTTAGGGACAAATATGAATATCTTGGCAGGTCTCTTTGCAAAGAAAAGTTCGATCCCCGGCTGCTTCCCGCCCACCGGAGGAGGGTCCCACATGGCGCGCAGACCTCTCCTGCCGCCCGCTGCTCCCCTCAGCAGTGTACTTCGGTCCTTCTGCCTGCTCTGCTCCCCGCTCTGGCTCTGGTGAATTCTCTCACCCTCCCGCCGCGCTTCTGACTGTACCCAGTGCATGTATAAACAAACAAACAAACAAACAAACAAACAAATAAATAAAATAAATAATACATGCCTCTTTAAAAAAAAAAGTTATAACCCAAAGTTGTCAGATTCCTGTGTATTTTGGTGGGGATAGGAAGGTGAGAGGGTATTAAGGCAGAAGGGAAGCTGAAGAGGAGCCTGAAACATGGAAACACATTCTGCAGACCTCATAGCCTGACCGGTTCCTCATTTCCTGCAATGGGCAAGGAAACAGGGAAGCAGCACCACCAGGTGAGCCCATATTGCACCAGCACAAGCACGCAAACTGAAGCAAGAATAAGGTGCTCACTCACACCAGCTTCCCTTCTGCTCACTTTGCAACTTTCCAGGTTATGGGTGCAGTTAGTCAGTTACTCCTGATTCCGAACAGAAACAAAATCCAGTGTGGGAGTTAACCGTTTGATCTAGCACTCCCTCCCTTTCAGCAACTGGTTAGCCAAAAAATCCAGATCATCTTTGTCAGTGTATCATTTAATAGAGATAAAATTTAGTCTCTGCACTTTGCTCAGCTGAATAATGCTGGGCGACATAAAATAGATAAGAAAGGGTAATCAACGGAGTTGCCATGGGAACCTGGCCGTAGGTCCACAAGACCAGTAAGGGGCTATAGAGAACTTCAAGGAATGTGGAAATGGCAAACAGAATCAGGTCAGACCCTCTTGTGCCGAAGCATCAAAAGCTGACGTCCCAGCAAACAGCAACTAAACCACAAAGACTCAACCCCCAAGTTACTAATGAGCCCACAAAACAGGTTATAAAGGAGCACCCCAAGCCCTTCTTTCCACAAAGACTAACTCTCCCATCTCACCCCCTGCTCCATTGCAAGCTATTCAATAAATCTGTCCTTTCTGTCCCTCATTCTGTCTCTGGTGAATTTTTTCACCCCTGTGCCTCTGGAAAACACCCCAATTTTCCCACAACAATCTTCTGAACAACTCCCTGGTTCTGCTCCAAGCTCACCTCCCTCGGTGACTTTTGAACCTGAATTCTTCTGCCAAGTTCTCCCAGGCAGGGCTAGCTCTGCTGAGTGGCTGAACTTCAGGAATGCACTGGTCTCCACTCCAAAAGAGACCCCTTTTCTTGCTTCCACTAGTTAATGAAACTGACCCATGTGCAACTTGCTGCCTTTATTCAATCCTTTTGGACCCCCGACACTGCCAAATTCAATCCTTTATTTTCTTTATTTCTAAAATTGAATAAGGTGACTCCTGACTGCATAAATAAAGCACTGTAATAAAAAAGCAGTCTGCTCTCCTGGGATCAGGCCGCACTGCGCCTTGAAACACAGGCTGTGGTCAGTCGGCATGTTAGCTCCCCTCAGTTGATTCATTAAAGAGGGCTTTCTTCCCAAGGCTATTTCAGTTACAGGGGAGAATTAGGAAGAAGGGCAGCCAGAGCAGCAGTGTTTAGATGTGGGAAGATATGGCTGTTTGGTTACTTTATCCTTCTGGCACATTATTCATAAACAAGTCAAAGTCAGAAAGCTATTCTCTAAAGCTCACTGGAGCTTTGCTGGAAACTCGGGTGAAATAAAGGGCCTTGCCCAACCTAGCCTCCAGCACTTGTGGCAATAGACTCAACTAAACCCAAATTAACCTTAAAATGATTTTCTTTCACAAACTACATTTAAATTATGAAACCTGTGAGGAAGTTCTATATTTCAATTTTCCACAGACTAATTTGTGAAAACGAAAAACAGAAAGCCTTAGCAAATCACAGCTGATAACTAACTGCTAGGAACATAATAAAGATTCCTTTATTATTTCACCAAAGAAATGTTCATTATTATAGAATGCAATTAATGATAGCAGTCAACAGGATTGACAGAACACCAATACTATACCATTACAGGCTGTTTTGTGTTGTGATGTTGGCAGTTTGGGAAATATTTGGGGCAAAAAACACTCAGATTTGCCCGACAACATCCAATACAGCTAATATGCACAATATTGAAGAAGGTGAATGTAATCATTCTGCAAAAATTTCCATTCAGACGGGATGTCCATAATGACCATGGTGGTCCATGCTTATTATAGAACATCTCTATTTGTTCTTGTTTCAATTTAGAAAGCACTCACATAGTTCTATGAGTTACCATTGTTGAATATCAGTTCATAGGCTTTGGCAATGGGCACCTTTGTGGTGAGTGAACAATAGCTATTCAACAAAATACATCACCACGCACAGTTCAACAAAGCAGATGATCAGAAGCCATAGGATTAGTTTAGGTGAAGACTCACAGCAACAAGGCTGTTTAAACCACATATAGATTTATTTTAACACTATGTCCTTCTTGATGTGAAAGAAGGGGACAGAGATAATGAATACAATTTTCATCTATTAAAATACTGTGCTTTTATTCTAAGTACTACTTCTTTACCCTGAAAATTAAATGACAGTAACTCAGAAAGCATCGTGGAGCTACTGGAAATGAATTGTGAGTCAGCTAAAGCAATAGTTCCCTCCTTCCTCCCCACTCCACAAGCCTTCCCTCCCACCTTTCATATGCTTTTAGCATTGCACTCAATTAAAAGGGAAACACATGTGCTGAGTAATTTGATTAAAAATGTTTCTAAAACTCCATAAAGTAACATGGGAGAAAGGATACAACTTTCTCTGATACAGAAGATCTTAAAAGAACCCACAAAGCACTTATGGTAGACTCACCTGAAGGTGCTTATTTAAAAGACACTTTCATGCTAAAAACCGCTGGCTTAGAAAGGAAAACTGGAAACCTGCATTCTTAATAAGCTGCCCACCTTATCATCAAGACACTGGCAGGCAAGGCCCACTTATTCAATATAAATGTCTATGGTCCACACTTAACTGCTTGCCCCTACTCACCAGGTGGACTGCCATGTCCTGCTGCAGCTGTGGCAATAGCAAAAGCAGAAGCAGGTGAAACGGAGCAGTGGGAGTTGTCAGCCGTCTGTCCTGGTTATTTGAAAAGAATGGAAATGGCAGGGTGAGGCAGATGGATAGTATTTGTAATAAAAATTCTCATTTTCATTCTTGCACTGGATGAAGGGTTGGGCTAAATGCCCTATATGCCTTGCATTCTACATCAGCAATTCCACTCTAGGTATACACACAAGAGAAATGAATACATACATCCACATAAAAATTTATGCATGAATATCTGCAACAGTGTTATTTATAATAACCAATGAGTAAAAACAACCAGATACACTTCAAATGATTAATGGATATATCAAAAGTGGCATATCCGTACAGCCACAAAAAAGCCACAAAAAAGAATGAAGTACTGATACATATTACATCATGAATGAACCTTGAAAATATTATGCTATACAACATACAAAATGCAATACTATTCAGCAGTCAAAAATGATAAACTGATGCCATTTGCAGCAACATGAATGGAGCTGGAAGGAATCGTGCTCAGTGAAATAAGTCAGAAGGAAAAAGAAAAACATTGAATGGTTTCACCTATAGGAGGAATATAGGGAAACCAAACAAAGGATCAGGAAAAAACAAAACTAGCAGGCAAAAGATAAATTGGAGGTATTTAGCAGGGGACGGGGAGGGAGAGGGATCAGAACAAGGGAGGGAAGAGCACAAGAGACTATGGTGATGGTTCATGGGTGACTTGGTGGTGGGAATTCAGAAAAAATTATGCTATACAGGCTGCAAATAGGCACATGAAAAAATGTTCATCATCATTTATCATTAAGGAAATGCAACCAAGAGCACAATGAGACACCATCTCATACCTGTGAGAATGACCCATATTGAAAAGACCAGAAACAACAAATGCTGGGGAGGATGAGGAGGAAAAAGTGAACCCTCCTACACTGCTGGTGGATATGAGAATTTGGGTAACCTTGATGGAAAGTGGTATAGAAGTGTCTCAAAACATTAAAATGGATCTGGCATTCAACCCAGTAATTCCACTCCTAAGCATCTACCCCCAAATTCAAAAACATTAATTCAAAAGGAAACTTTTAGCTATTTTCTATAGCTAAATTATGGAAAGAACCTAAGTGCCCCAGAACAGATAAATGGATCAAGAAGACACGATATATATGGTTTATATATATATTATATATATATCACACACACATAATATATATGTGTGTGTGTGATATATAAGTGTGTGATATATACCGCATATGGTATACGGTAAATAAACACAAAGGAATACTACTCAGTGGTCAAAAAAGATAAACTCATGTCATTTGTGGCAACTTGGATAGAGCTGGAAGGTTAATGTTAAATGAAATAAGTTATAAGGAGAAAGACAAATACCAGACAGTATTATTAATATGTAGAATATAACATAACTAAATTAAGAGTCAGGTAAAGACAAGCTTAAAAACTAATCCTTGATAGCTGACTTCAGAAATGAAGCATCAAGAGGGTGGGTGAGGGGTAAAAACAAAGAGGGAAGGAAGCACAACGGACATGGTCATGGACTGTGGGTGATTGGGTGGTGGGTACACTACCATGGTAATACCTGATGGGGGGATCCAAATGTTACCTCAATTAAAAATAAATAAATAAATACGAAATTTCACAAAAAAGAAAATATTATGCTGAGTGAAAGAAATCAGTACAAAAGGACATATATTGTGTGATTCCATTTATATGAAAATTCAGAATAGACAAACTCAGAGGCAAGAAAAAATTTAAGATTGCCAGGGTTTGAGGGGAGAGGGAGTTGCTAATGGATACAGGGTTTCTTTCTGAAGTGATGAAATGTTCTGGAATTAGATAGTAGTTATGGCTGCCCATTCCTATTAAAATATAAAAACCCCTGAACTATAAACTTCTAAATGGTATATTCAATGGTATTTGAATTATATCACAATACAAAAATATTTTTTAAAAATATTCTACATCATGTTACCCATTTTCTTTTTTAGATACATTTGAAGGTGGAACAGGGTTCTAAAAGTGAAAGGAAGCACTGGGGACCTTTTGGAAGTCCCTTTACTCCCCATATATTTTATGCACAGCAGTTGACAGTATTCATGCCAACCTCACTATTTTTTCTCACATAAGTTTTTTGGTGAAAATAGTTTGCTGTGATTCTGACCCAAAGGGTTCTTATCAGTTTGCCCCTGAAATTACATAGACAGGTTTAAAATAGAGAGGAAGCAAAGAGCTGGTTAACATGGCCAAGTACAAAAGTACAGAGCAGTAGCCTCAAAACATGAGTGGAACTAGGTGGCAAGGAGACAGATGAACAGGCAAAATTTCAGCTAAACAGTGAAATATGTGTGATTCTATCCCTATTTGGATCCTATTATCATAGATTTCAGCTTCTTCCTACGTTCCTACAAAGAACGTGGTTTAGTTATATTAGGGAAGAAAAAAAACTTTCTTAATCCTTAAACAGGAAAAGAATCTCTAAATAATGCTTATATAAATTTAAAAATTTACATATGAAGATAAATATATGAAAAGACACTACAAGACAATCATAATAATAGTAACAAGTGAGCAGCACTTAACTCTTGCTTCCACAGGTTGTGGCTCAAATTCTCCCAGGTCACAGAGGACTCTAGAGAATTTGTCCTATGTGGTAATGGTCAAGCAAGTTGCCAAGGCCTGGACTGACCAAGGCTCTAAAAATAGTAAAGATATTTGGCTTATTCTATAATAGTTCTATGACAAGCCAGCAAAGGCTAGCTTGTCATCTTTATCAGAATCACCCAAACACCTGGGTGACCTGAAACCTGAGGTCAGTCCATTCCCCAAGGGTTAATATCCCCAAAGGCAAATCTTCAGACAACATCCTGATCCAGGCTTACTGTGCCTGGGGCTGATGGCAATGACAACAGTGTGTACCATGTAGCAAAAGCTACAAATAAAATGACCATTTCTAGCTTTTGCTGAATTGTTCTATTTGAAGCACCAGTATAAGAGTCAAGAAATGTCTTCACATTTTAGTTGGATGACTTGGGAAGAATCTGGTTTTATAACTGTATAATTTTCCCTTCTGACTTAAAATAATTGGCCTCACAAGAAAAAGAAAAAATAAAAACCAACTGCTATTTGGAAATATTTCTTTGCACAGAGAGAAAAATGGGAGATCAAGGATTTCTACCTTTTGCATTGATGTTTTTTCCTCCAATTAGAGGGAATTTGATATATTCTAAAGCAAATTATGATGTAATACCTTATAATTTTCATAACTGTAGGAAATACACCAGTTTTTAGCATTAGCTATGATGATAATGGGGGTCCCATGCAACCAGAATTTATTTTAGATGAAATTATGTTCTTAATAAAGTCCTCCACAAAAATTGTGGCCGCCCAAATAAGCTTACTTATTATAGACAACACTGGGATTCATAAGGTATTAGCGTAAGGGGACATTCTGGAAAAACCAGCTCTGAGACTCTTCAATTAGCTATCATCTACAAACAGGCCCTTTGATTCACATTACTCCACACAAAGTGCAGTGCAGTGATGTAATCAATAAATAGTGGTGATACAGGGCCTCTGTTGTGGCGCAAGGGGTTAAGCATAGCACTATGAAGCTATTCGAAGTCACTGCAGCACGAGTTCGATCCCTGACCAGGAAGGTGACCCACATCGTGCAGCAGACCTCTCCTGTCTCGCCCGCTGCTTCCCTTAGTAGTGTATGTCACTCAATCTGCCTGCTCTGCTCCCCGCTCTGGCTCTGGTGAATTCTCTCACCCTCCTGCACTTCTGACTGTACCCAGTGCTTGTATAAATAAATTAATTAATTAATGAATTTTTTTAAAAAAGTAAAAAACTCTCTAAAAATTTTAAAAAAATATATATTGGTGATACAAATGGTATGTTCTCTAATCATTTATTTTTCCACTACTTAGCCATAAAATAACACTATTTGCTTACAACTAATTTTTGTAACTGAGTCTAGAAAATATTTAGAAATGAAAAGGTATGTAGTGACCCAGTTTTCCCAGCACCATTTATTGAACAAACTTTCTTTGCTCCAATGCATAGTCTTTGCTCCTTTGTCAAAGATTAGTTGACCATAAATCTGTGGGTTTATTTCTGGATTTTCTATTCGATTCCATTGGTCTGTATGTCTGTTCTTGTTCCAATACCATGCAGTTTTGATGATTATGGCTTTGTAGTATAGTTTGAAGTCTGGGAGTGTGATGCCTCCATTTCCTTCATTTTTTTTCAGTAGAGCTTTGGCTAAAAAGAAACTTCTCTGAAGAGGAAATGCAAATGGCCAACAGGCATATGAAAAAATGTTCAACATCACTTGTCATCAGGGAAATGCAAATCAAAACTACCATGAGATACCATCTTACACCAGTGAGAATGGCACTTATTAAAAAAACTAACAACAAATGTTGGCGAGGGTGTGGAGAAAAAGGAACTCTCCTGCACTGTTGGTGGGAGTGCAAACTAGTCCAACCACTATGGAGAGCTGTGTGGAGATTTCTGGACCTACTAAACATAGAGCTTCCATATGATCCAGCAATTCCACTCCTACATATTTACCCAAAGGACACAGAAACATCAATTCCAAAGAACACCTGCACCCCTATGTTTATAGCAGCACTGTTTACAATAGCTAAGCTTTGGAAACAACCCAAATGCCCAAAAATAGATGACTGGATCAAGAAGATGTGGTGCATATACACCATGGAATATTACTCAGCATTCAAAAAAGATAAACACATGTAATTTGCAGCAACATGGATGGTGCTGGAAGGGATCATGCTCAGCGAAATAAGCCAAAAAGAAAAAGAAAAATACCGGATGGTCTCACTCATAGCAGGAATCTAGAAAACTTAAATAAGGGACCAGGAAAATGAATAACTACAAGAAAGTAAAAATCAGAATCAACAAAAAACTATGAAACAGAGACATTTTAGGGGGGGGGCGGGAGGGGAGGGATTGGGATCAGAATGGGGGGTTGCAATTGTATGGGGAATATAAAAATAAAATTTATTATTTAAAAAAAAATTAAAAATATAAAGTCAATAAAAAAAAAGAAATGAAAAGGTATGAAAGCAAGATTCAGAAACTAGAAATCATCTTCCACTTTTCTGACTCCATTCCTGAGCCCTCACCTCCAGGCTGGCGATAGCGGAGGTGCCGTGGAGTTGAGGGAGATCTGCAAGGTGACAGTTCTGTGGTGTCTGCTGCCGATGAGCTCTCAGCTACTGCTCGGTCCACTGGTGCAGATTCTACGATGGCTGCTTGAAAATATGAATTTTAACACCCAGAGCATGAATTCAGGAGCTTCTTGCAGTATTATACATGGAAACAAAAATGTTCACTATGGATAATAAGCATTTCATATCAGTTTATATATAGATATCTATTTATATACATATTAGTTTAAAAATGTGAAATAATACTTCAAAGGTTCAAATAAAACCTAACGTCTCACTCTTGCACAGGGACACTTTCAATTATTTTAGATTATATTGTGACCATTTAATCATATATATTCTTTTTAATTATTATTTAAGTGCAGCTGATTTATATCTTTGTTGGTGTTTTGGAAGTATAGGATTTCATCCTTCAGGTGTAGTCACCTTAGAGAATCCACCACCGATGGACCCATCATCCTCCACCATAGTCCACTGTGTTCTCTCCCCTCTCCTTCCAGCCCTTCCTCAATATCTCAGTTCTCTGGTCAGCTTTCAAGGGTTGTATTGAGAATGAAATGGACTATGGCAAAGGACTATGGGTGCACCAATGATTGGTGTGCTATGGTGACTACACCTGAGGGGGGAAATCCTATACTTCCAAAAAACTAACAAAGATATAAACCAGTAGTGTATATTTTTAAAGGGGTTTAATATGGGATCAAGTCATTCCTGGGAAGCAGAATGCTCATGACACAAAATCTAAATATTGCTCTTTTCTAGTTTTGTCTCCAAGATCTTGCAGAGCCTGGCTGCCCTACCAAGTACCTTCTGTCCAACACAACAACAAATGTGAAAAAGGGTTAAGAGGCATGCAATAGACTCCCCACTTTCTAGAATTTGGAGTTAGTTGAATGGGACATTTCCAGACTGTAAATCAGACTGGGATCAAAATTGGTACTTCACTATTTCTTTACTTGGGTTGTCCCTGTAAGTTATCTAAAGTTTGAGTCTCTACCAATGTGGCACCCCAAGAAGCTCTGAGACTTCTAAGGATCTAGAGTTATATTGCCCCAAATGGTAGCATAAACTAAATGTGGTTATGTCAATTTAAATTAAAATCGAAGTCAAACTAACATGTCAATTCCACACCTGCACTTGCCAATTGCAAGTGCTCAGGAGTCACACGTATGTAGAGGACAGCACTGATATAGTACATCTCCATCCTCCTGGAAAGTTCTATAGGATAGCTCTGATCATGAACTACAGATCAGCAAGAGGCAAGTATTTATTTTCACCATGAACACCCGAGAGCCTTTAAGATCCCATGAATAAAAGACACATTATTTTGGGATCACATTTAGGTTTTTACTGATGATGTTTCCGATATTTCTCTGACTGGATTGTTGACTAGGTAAAACTACAACATCCTGAGTATTCTTTCAAGGAAAAACACTACAAAAGTTTCATAAATTTCCAATAACTTATGCATTTCCCTTTCCTTGGGTTTTTCATTAACTTATCAAAACTGGGTTACCTCCACAAATTTTGTACTACCACTCTCAACAGAACTACTCCCAACTTAATTCCTTTTGCATTCCATTGAAGATCACTCAAACTTTACAAAATCCCTAATAATTTCATATAAATACATTTTTACACTTGCATATAAGTTCTCCCTTAGAAATATGGCCACAATTCTGCCTTTTTGAAGCACAAGAAGGCCAGGGAGAGGAAATGGTTGGAATCTTTCCTTGAATGACATAATTACAGCAAAGCTGGCAATGATGCAAGAGGCAGACAAAAAAATCAGTGCTTAGCTGTTAGTTTTATTATTTTCTAAATAACTCCCTCAAAATTCAGTAATGGGAGGCATCTGTTCTGTAAGAGCAAGCAGAATATCAAATACATATCCTAGGGGCTGATTCAACCATTCATCCCTCTGAGGCAAATGAAAAAATCATTTAGTCAGCAATTACACTGAACCCAATAAACTTCCCAGTGAGAAAGCTGGACAGGCCCCAAATGTCCACTGAAAGAACTGGAAAACAAAGTATTAACACTGTAATCAAATAGGCACAGAGAGAAGAAGCCATGTCAGCAACGTGGTGGGGAAAGAAGCACTTCCTTCTGGCATGTTCAGTTTCAATCAAGTTCCATGCAAACAGCTTTGCCTGCAGGACGAGTGGGCAGATGTGGGCTCAAAACAAATGCTAAAATTGGGAGCACTTTCAGCCCACAGGCAGGCAATTTTCAAACTAAGAACACAGAAACAGATACTAGTGATTTGGGCTGTGCAACAGTGCTTAGGCTGGATTGCATAGTCGTGGTCCTGGTGAACCCTGATTGGGTCAGGACCCCAAATACAGTGAGCACCCTGCGACTCTCCTTTCTGGCTTGCCATAGGTTTGATTTTTGTTGAGAACACACTATTGGGTAGAATCTGGATGTGAGTTGGGCTAATATTCGTGTTTTTTAGAGAATTCTGGGAAGAAAAAGATGGTACTACGTGGCAGGAAGAAAGAAGGGTACTAATTAATGTTAGATAAGCATGGAACAGATCTGGGGGGAAAACTGCATTATTTTTTCCCTAAGAAATTCATGGTCTTGTTCATTTCGAAGGACATGTCCTATTTTCCTTCTTTCCCCTCATGTCATTTGAAGTTCCCTTGCCAGGAAATATTACAGGTTGGCGATATAAATGCAATAACAACACAACTGGACATAGGTCGCTGATATTTTTCAGAATATACCCTGAAACTGTCTAGCAGGACAGCAATGAGAGAGACCTCTAGTCTCAGAATGGAACTACTGACTGAAGCTAGTATTATGCCATGAGGTTGTATGCAGTTGTATCTTAAAGTGAAAAAGCAGAAAATGTATCAACTCTTGGCACAAGAATCTTATTCAAGTTCGCCAACTGTTTTAAGTGTTAACATTATGCAAAGCGCAGGAAAACATCTTTCAAATTAAAGACAGATCAGTGTCTCCCTTTTCTTTGCCAATTGGAATTTTCAAGACTAGACAGCAGAGTTAACACAGCAGTACTCTTGGCTTCTATAGACACGTGCACACACGTGTACATGCATACACACTGCACTTGTCAGCAGATGTTGAAGTTTCATGCCTGACTTTCCTAAGAGTACATATGACCAATATTCCCCATATACCAATGAAAAATAAAAGAAACTAATTCTGTGGCCCATATGCTTCATCTACTCAGAAAAACACAAAAGAACTTTTTAGATTCCACTATTGATTCTAAGATTTCTATACACGGTTTTCTTAATGAGGATCCACAGGATAACTTGTTCTCAGGTCTCAGTAACAGGGAAAGATGTGCCTCCACATCAATTATTCTTAGTTTTCTATATGAATCATGAAATCACCCAAATCAGAGTGACTCCAAACTGAAGAGGACCACACAGCATTCACTAGCCATTCCCTCAGCCTCACAGAATTTGTCTTCATTGCTTGGCCTCCTCATCGATTTTATTTTTAATCCAGTTGTACCACATGTCCCCTTGAGCTATCACATTAAACATTTTTAGGAACAAATTGGGAAGTAAATACATTCAAAGTAATCAGAAGATAGCTACAGACAGGGGAAAGAAAGGTGCGACAAAGTGGCCAGGAATAATGGCCTGGAAAAAAGTGTTTAATGGAAGGATTAAGAGGGGCATTTACAAAAATGAGAGATGAGAGGGGCACATCAGTGGGTGGATGTGACTGAGAAACACAGATGGTAGAGGAGCTGTATCTGGTGGAGAGGTTGGCTTTAATGGGCTTCACCAAATACCATGAAGTCCACCTGGACTTCCCATCACCAAAAATGAGAGAAATTCTGTATTTAACCACGATCCAGAATCACAAAGTGATATTTCTAACCCATGAATATGTGGATAAAATAACCATTGAGAATCTAACTGCATATTATTTAATTTGGGGAAACCCACTGAGAAACAAAGGCATTAGGCCCTCATACTTAGCTATGTCTCTCACTGAGAGAGAAACTAATGTTTCTTTCTCTTTTTTTATTAATAATTTTTATTTTTATATTCCCCATACAATTGCAACCCCCTTATTTTGACCCCAAGCCCTCCCCTCCCCGCCCCCCACCCCCCATAGAGTGTTGCTGGTTCATAGTTTTTTGTTGATTTTGATTTTCACTTTCTTATAGTTATTCATTTTCCTGGTCCCTTATTTAAGTTTTCTAGATAACTGCTATGAGAGAGACCATCCGGTATTTTTCTTTTTCTTTCTGGCTTATTTGATCCCTTCCAGCGCCATCCATGTTGCTGCAAATTGCATGTGTTTATCTTTTTTGAATGCTGAGTAATAGTCCATGGTGTATATGTACCACATCTTCTTGATCCAGTCATCTAGTTTTGGGCATTTGGGTTGTTTCCAAAGCTTAGCTATTGTAAATAGTGCTGCTATAAACATAGGGGTGCAGGTGCTCTTTGGAATTGATGTTTCTGTGTCCTTTGGGTAAATACCTAGGAGTGGAATTGCTGGATCATATGGAAGCTCTATGTTTAGTAGGTCCAGAAATCTCCACACAGCTCTCCATAGTGGTTGGACCAGTTTGCACTCCCACCAACAGTGCAGAAGAGTTCCTTTTTCTCCACACCCTCGCCAACATTTGTTGTTGCTAGTTTTTTTAATAAGTGCCATTCTCACTGGTGTAAGATGGTATCTCATGGTAGTTTTGATTTGCATTTCCCTGATTACAAGTGATGTTGAACATTTTTTCATATGCCTGTTGGCCATTTGCATTTCCTCTTCAGAGAAGGAGAAATTAATGTTTCTGCCATACCACTACTCATGGGCCCTCGCCTTCTGTTGGCCCCTGGTCAATTAATAATGCTGCTTTCCAGACTCCCCTAGGTATGACCACAAAGATCCCATCTCTATCCAACTTCTGCACTGACAGGTCTTTGCAATCTTTGTAACTGTCCTTCCCTGGGAGCTTGATCAAGTTCTTTCTCATACATCTTGGTCTCCTCAACTATAAGTTTGCTTCAGGAGACAAAACTACTGATTCCTCCCAGTGACCACACTGGCATCCTGGATAGCAGGCCAAGCAGATTGTATGAGATTGCACTGGACCATCAGTATATACACTGGGCTTGGGCTTTGAAGGCTAGCACTAGAAAACTTTTGTAAAGCAATGTGTAAGAAGAGGAAGTGGGAGAATTAATTATGGTAGGAATGGGCAGCTTGATTGAGGACCTTTAGAACTATGCCACATATTTAGACAATAATGCAGAGAGAAACAGATTTTTCTTATGGTTCTTTGTTGAAGAAAAAATTAATATCCATACCACTAGGCCTGAGTCAAGTTAAAATGCAATCTCCGGGAAAATGCAAAAAGGAAGAAAGAGTCTCACCTCACATTCATTAGGATGACCACTATCAAAAGGATGAAGAGAATTAAAACACAGTGCAAATGTAAAATGGTATATCCACTAAAAAAAAATGCATGGGAGTTCCTCACAAAATTCAAAATACAATTACCAGATGAGCAAGGAATTTTCCTTCTGAGTACATATCCAAAAGGATTGAAAGCAGGATCTCAAAGAGATATTTATACTTCCTTATTCACTGAAGCATTATTCACAATAGCTAAGAAAAAGAAGAAACTTAAATGTCTATCTGTGGATGAATGGCTAAAGAATACGTACATGCAAACATACATACATACATACATACATGTATACATGCATGCTTGCATCTATAATGAAACGTATTTCAGTCTTTTCAGAGAAGGAAATCCTGGCACATGCTACAACATTGATGAAATTTGAAACCTGCTAAGTGAAGTAAGACAGTAATAAGAAAACAAATAATGTATCATTCTACTTAGATGAAGCATCTAGAGTTGTCAAATTTATAGAAATAGAGAATAGAGGGTCTCCCCTGGAGATGCAGTGGTTGAGCACTGGGTTGTGAGGCTGCCTGAAGCCTCTGCAGTGCCGGTTCGATCCCTGGCCACCTGTGAGGGTCCCACAAGGCGCGCAGACCTCTCCTGCCACCCGCTGCTCCCCTCAGCAGTGTACTTCATCAGTCTGCCTGTTCTGTTCCCCGCTCTGGCTCTGGTGAATTCTCTCACCCTCCCACACTTCTAACTGTACCCAGTGCTTGAATAAATAAATAAATCTTAAAAAAAAAAAAAGTAGAGAATAGAATAATGGTTGTTTCAAGAGGTTGGGGGTGGGGAGGAGAAATGGGGATTTGTTTAACAGGTACAGGTTTCAGTTTTGCAACACAAAAAAAATTTCGAGACAAGCTGAACAACAAGGTAAATATATTTTAATACTATTAAATTGCACATTTAAAAATGGTTAAGACGGAGTGGTGGGGGGAGGAGGGAGGAGAACACAGGCAAAGAGGCAGAGGAAGAAAAGAAAAAAGACTCTTTAGGAGAGCTTTGTGAAAAAGCGTTCACTTGATACTAGAAAGGTTTAGGATGACTAGGAACAGGTATAGTCTATAGGGCTGCTGGTGGCATCAGAACTGGAAGGTGTCCCTTCAGAAGCAATTATGTGTCTTGCTCTCAGAAATGGCTTTCACCGCTGGGAATTAACACGAGCTCTTTGCTCATATGTTCTCTTTACCCAAAAATTTACCTGTCTCTTCCTTCGAACCTCTCCATTCCTCTTGGCTCATGTCAACAACACTCTGACTCTGCCCAAGCAGGAATGATATCTCTTGCTTTTCACCCTCCAGGGCACACTGTCTGTACCTCTTGTGCCACCTCCTCTTATAGTTATGTTGTTTCTACCTTCTCCACATAGCTATAGTACAAGGGCCCGGGGCACTGTCTTATTTATCATTATGAACCCTATAGTACAGCAACCTGCACAGAGAAGGTGCTACAATGACTCCGAAGCAGACCTTCTTGTGTTCTCATTCCAGCTTCAGGCAAGGGCAAGCAAACCAAAGCCTGGGAGCCACAAATGTCTGTATTAAAATATTATTCCTAGGGCCTCCCTGGGGGGGGCAAGGGACTAAGATGCAACCTATGAAGCTGTCCGAAGCCCCTGCAGCACAAATTTGATCCCCGGCTGGCCAGGGAGCAACCTACATGGTGCAGCAGACCTCTCCTGACTAGCCCACTGCTTCCCTCAGCAGTGTATTTCAGTCAGTCTACCTGTTCTGCTCCCCACACTGTCTCTGGTGAATCATCCTTAGCCCCCGCACCTCTGACCTGTACCCCAGTTTTTGTATGCCTAAATAAATAAATCTTTAAAAAAATAAAATATTATTCCTCAAGCTAACCTAACTCAAAATAACACAAGAATCCAGACGTATCCCCAAATTTCTCCTCTCCTGTTTACTGCAATCCAGTAAAGGAGGGGAAAGAACTTCCCATATTTTTTTTTTTTTGGAAACTCCTGTACATCCCAAGGCACCCTGTCCCAGAGGGGAGGTCTGAGACAAGTCTAAGTCATTCCCTCTGAGGTGTTCCCAAGCACCAGCACTGGATTGAACCCAGATGCACTTGTCAGCTTGTGCACTGCCTCATTATTCCCAAGAATCCATCAATATTCTGCTGCAGCTTGTTGTTCTAATGACTTTTTAATTATCTTCTTTCTTTCCTCCCCCTTAGTTGCTAACTTGTCAATTTATAGAATTTCTTGTTTAAAAGGGTGCTACTTTTGATAATGACAACCACTCCAGTTAAAATTCCATTAATTACTTCACTCAGGAAGCTTATTTAAATGATCTAAGATAGAAAGTACAAAGAAGATTTGAGTAGGTAGAAAAGCAGGGGTTTATTCTTCCACTGGGGTGATCCTCTTTGAAATTTGGACACTTTGATTTATTGCCCAATTTTATTAGGTAATCACTAAATAAATCAGTTACTAAAATCCCTTCCTCCACCCAAGAAAAGGCTGATTGCTAGTTTGGCTATGAAAACTTTAGTTATAGTTATCAAAGAAACCCTGGATTATAAAAGCAAGAAGGTTCACCTCCTCCAACCCCTATTTTGTTCCATGCTGAGGAAAGTAAGGTGACATGCCATAGAACTATCAATTAGTTCACTGGGAGTTTTGTTCATTCATTCAACAAAAATTTACTACCTGTAAGGCAAATGACCAAGGCATTGAGGGTAGAGGTGAACAAGACAGACAAGGTGGCTGATCTTGTAGTGCCTACATGGGGAAAGACTGTCCAGGCAGAGAGAAGAACAAGTGCAAAGGACTTGAGGAAGAAATGACCGAGGTTTTTTAAAGATATAGGAAGGAAATCAAATTGACTATAGTCTAGGAGAGGAGGGAGCATGGCAGAGCAGAGGTTACAAAGGGAGAAACCACTTTGGCTATATCATGGACAACAAACACACCTTAAAATCAGTTCTTAAATTTTATTTTTCTCCCTATAAATTTTTATTTTTCTCCCCTTTTTGAAAGATTGAGCATTGCCTTGGTAATAAACTGAAAAGTCATCTAAATGCTTCCAGGCTCGGTCATCCTCAGCAGGGAAGGCTGGAAGCAATACAGTGCTTAAGGCAGACACTGGAGAAGGTTCTGAGGCCAAGCTCATGGATAAAGGTGCCCACAATCTGCTTCTATGAAAAGTATTGTGCTAGGTTCTTTAGTCAACCACCCTTAATCAATTTCTATAAAGAACCTTCCAATAATACCATTCAGATAAAGCTATTCTTCCATAAACAACTGACTGAAATTAAACTTTTGCTATAGAAAACCTAAGGACAACTAACCTTGCTCTCCATTCCACAAAGCCTAGAAGGAACCACAGAAATTTCTTCTTCTAACTTACCATTATGTTCATTCTGCTTCCTATACAAAAGTAAGAAATTTGTAAAGAAAGGGAACTAGAGTCCCAGAAGGTGGGAAACAGACCACCAATAAATGTGGGTGTGGCAGCTGAATACCTCTTTGAATACTTCGTTTTAGCTTGTTACACAGATCCACGCGGGGGTTATCTACATGCTCTTCTATTGATCCTGGGCTTTGTTCTGGAGAAGAAAGGCCTCTGCTAAGATCCAACGGTACTTTACCCGTGTGCGGTGGTGGGGATGCAGCAGGGCTGTGGGTGGTTGTAGGACTGCTAGATGCTGAGGAAGTGCTCAGGTCCAACACGCCTATCCTTGAGTTCAAGGGTGAAGTCAAGGACAGCTTTCTGGCCCTCACCGGGGAGGATGTTCTGGATACGGCCAGCGGTGGTGGGGAAGAGAATTTGCGACACAAACGTGGGGATTTGCCATCCACCAAATGTTCACCCCTGTTGTTCTGGCTGGTAGCAAAAAACAATTCCAATGACCTAAAAATAAAAGCAAAAACTATTAATGGCTGCAGCCAATAAAAATGATCTCCCCGTGTCATCGAGAACATGCTCTTTTACATTTAAAGGCCATTATATCATTGCATGTCTGTTGCTCAAACCTTCTTCCCTTAAACGCTACATGTATCCCACACAAAGGAACACAGACACTTTGTAGGCCTTGTCTAATACCTTGCTACAAACTGTGACCGAAAGACTAGAAGCATTGGTGCCTCTGGAGTGCTTGTTAGAAATGTAGATCTTGGGCTCCACTCCAGATCTACTGAATCAGAGGCTGCAATTTAACCAAGGCCCCAAGTGATTCTTATGCCTAGTAAAGTTTGAAAAACCCAATTACAAAAACAATAATAAAATAGAAAGTCTAAAATAATGGAATTAGCTCCCAAATAACCACAGAGCAAGCAAAGCCCACGTGGAGACTTCAGGGTCCTCAACTTCTTCCCTCCCTCTATATTATTGCCTCCCTTCTACTGGTGGGGCATGTAGGTTCAAAGGCAAGCCACAGCCTAGTCAAAAGCCCCAGCGTGGGGCTGCTCACCTGCATGGAGACCTAGGGACCAGGAGGGCCGCACTTTCCTGACAGGCAAATCCCGGCCTACCTGACCGGGATGGAGGTGAAAGGCCTCTTGTATATGTCGGAAAGCTTCGCCAGCACCACAGCTGCTGTAGTGAAAATACGGTAGGTGTGCAGAAAGGTGTTGAGGAAATCGATACTAAGAAACCGCAAGTCTGTCAATCGTTCCAAGAGACGCTCCACAGTGGCATAACGGATTTGGGGCACTTTGCAAGAGTTCAGCGTTTTACTAAAGCAAATGTCGGTGTCATCTTTATGAAGACGAGCATCAGACCTACACATAAAACAGGAGCATGAGGACAAAACCAGGGAGAGATTTCCTCTCAGCCACTGAGTATTTCAGTTTGCAAACAAACACACGTGTGAGCTTCCTATTGCATTTGATAAAAGATGTTTTATGACATATTATATCCAACAAGGTAAGGCTGCAAGAGCATCAAATACGCCATTATAATTTAGGAAAATTTGAATTAATGTAGAGAGGACAATATTAATTCATTTTACCCTATGTATTCCTTCTGTAGGGAGGAAAAATAATTTTGCCTCTACCCTTCTCAGTTCATGACTGAAATCCCTCTAATAAAAGATATTAGCAAGAGAAAGACAAACAGAAGTTAATTAACATATATATCTTTTGTATACACGGGAGATACCCAGCGGAAAATAAGTAACTCCCCAAGATGACTTAGAATTCAGGTTTAAATACCACCTTAATAGGAAAAGGGAGACGGATTTTTAGGAAAGATGAATGTGCCTTTGGAAGCATAGAATGGAGCTGTGATAATTCGTGACGTTTGTCTGGATGTGGTGCCAATTTCTCGTCTCCTCTTCTGGGATCAGTGTCAGTCTTCCACGGTTGATGAAACTCTCAGGGAGGAGATGTGTGACAACTGAGTTCCTTTTGCAAGATTTGTCTTTAGGCAGGAAATTCAGAGGTAGTCTCACCATATACTTCTTATTTTTCAAGTACCTACTACTCAAAATAATCAATAAGCCCAGTGGCATAATTTGGGGTTACTTAATTCTGCTACCCTTCACTGCACTCCCTAGTTCAGTCATGTTTTACTAGGGAAATGAAATGAAAAGTCCTATTTAAGAGAGGCATTGCTTATGCTCTTAAATGAGAATATCAGAAATATGCATTAAAAATTAATGGTGACATTCTCGCCTCAGAAGGGTGGAAAGTAGAGAGATACATGGATTTTCATGACCATATCTGGGGTTATTTCTTTGTCCTCATTTCTAATTTTGTACATTTGTGCTTCCCCTCTTTTTTCAAGATTACACAGACTAATAAATTACATTATTAGGTATTTTCCCCTCTAAAACCAGCTCTTGGATTAGTCGATTCTACTGTTTTTCTATATTTTAATTTACTAATATCTGTTCTTATTTCTTCACTTAATAATCTCCTTCTTATAACACCCTATAGTTTATTTGGTCATTATTTTTTAACTTCTCGAAATGAATGTTTGGTTCATTTCATTCTTCCTGGCTTATTAGTGCATTTAAGGCAATCCATTTCTAATTGCAGTTGAATCCGTAAGTTGAGTAAAATGTTGTTTCCAATATTCTTCAGTATTAAAAATGTCTTCATAAAAATAAAAAATGATGCATGAAAAACAAGCAGTGGACCCTTCCAGAAGCTCCCTTTGAATAGTACCCACTACTGCCCCCTGCAGCTCGTTCTCTGCTTTTCCCAATCTGTAAAACCCATTTGGTGACTCCTCACCCCAAATCCCCAACAAACACAATCAGACACACATCCTTGCACTGGAAGATGGAGACAGCTTCTTCAGCTGGAGAGGAAACTGGGGATAAATTTCACCTCGCAGCCCTCACAATCCTTGGCTGAACTCAGAACCCTCAGCCCCTGGAGCACATTTGTTAAAAAGGGCAAAAGAGGCCAGTGGAGTAAGAGGAAAAGCTTAGAGGCAGAGACTGAATCCAGTGGGGCTCAAAGAAAAGCACAGACTTCAAAAGGTTTTATATTCCCTTCTGAGAGTTCTTGCCCCAATTCATGGCAGCATCTCATAACAGGCAATCCATGAAGTTCTGGATTTCACCAGGTGATTAAAGGACATACTATAGGACCAATGATGCTCAGTCAGGCAATTGCTTGCTAGGAATAAGTTGTGCTATTGTAAGTGCCCTTAATTAGCCCTTTCATGCTTTGAGAGATTTTAAATTATATATTTATTTTCTTCTGGATATAAAAGAATCAATAGCTGGGCCTCCCTGGTGGCGCCAGAGAAGGGTCCCACCAGAGAAGGGTCCCACATGGCGCGCAGACCTCTCCTGCCGCCCACTGCTCCCCTTAGCAGTGTACTTCGGTCCTTCTGCCTGCTCTGCTCCCCGCTCTGGCTCTGGTGAATTCTCTCACCCTCCCACGCTTCTGACTGTACCCAGTGCATGTATAAACAAAACAAACAAACAAATAAATAAATAAATAAAACATGCCTCTATAAAAAAAAAAAAAGAAAATGTTTAAAAAAAAAAAAAAAAGAATCAATAGCTGTCTTAGCTTGTTCTTGGATACCTCCCACCCCAAAGTTTGCTTAGTGTGGGTGGAAGGAATTCATGTGTAGATCTGAAAGGGCATTTTAAATGAGCAGCTTATCCATGCCTGGAAACTAGCTAAGGGGGACCTGTTAGTTTTAGTCATATTACTGGTCTCAAAAATACACAAATGTGTCTTCTGAGATTCTTGAAAATAACATCCCACTCACTCTTTTATTCACAAAACCAATTTACTTTTCTGATTTTTTATTTTCTCATTTGTCAAAAGACCTTAGAAATTTTTATGCATCTGTCATTCTATGTAGAAGATAACTAAACAAGAGGTAATCACTATTTCTCACACCATTTTCCCACCAAAAATCTATACTTTTTTTTAAGGAAGTTCAAGTCAAAGATCAACAAAAGAAAGCAAACCTTAATCTATATATATAAAATGTAAAATGACACATAAGGACATATTTCCACCTAATAAATGTCATGATTTGGCATACTTACCACAGTTTGAGTTTTGTATATTTTTACTGTAATTATCTTAATCAAAACTCTAACAGGAAAAAAATATGTTGTAGCCAATATGAAATTAAAATAAAACTAATTATACCACTGTCCTTCAAATTGTGATTTGCATCTGCATTTAAGAAAAAATTAAACTTATGAAATTATTTAATTTTCTTTTATTACATTGAACAGGAACTATATTTCCTAAGGGACCCACAAGAAAGTCCCTCAGTCTCCTGTAATAATAACAACTCCTTTTCAGTAAACACTTAAGCCATCTTGAGTTATTAACACAGATCCACCTATCATAATTAGTAATTTTTAAAAGGAAGACAGTGCCTACAAAGTGATGCCATGTTAGTAACAAGACACAGTTAAGACAGAATAATTTTTTTTAACACTTTAAAATATCTGGATTTTTTTTTTTTTTTTTTTACTGATAGCCAAGGAGATGTGTAGGAGACAAAAATAAAACCCAGAATTTAAGGTAGAAAAGGGTCATGGAGGGGACTATCAGAAGGAACAGTGATTGCAAAATCTTTCCTTTTATTGATGATACTTGGGAAAACAGGGAAGAATTATATGAAACTTTACTCTGATTTGGGAATACATTTAATGTAGTATAGATGGGCACCAAAACATGTGTGACTCTTACAGAAAGTCCTTAGAGCCTAAGATACTGGTTTCTGTTGTAGCAGGGGAGAGGGTCCTGCTCATTTAAGTGTTTATGCAAAATAGCAGAGAGCACAGGTCTGTGCCTGAGTTAGTTATGTAGATAATTGGCATGGATACTGGATAAACTACCAGGGAAGGGACAAAATCTGGTGTTGGCCATAACCGGTCAGCCACAAAACTAAAGATTTTATCCATATTAGGTTTTAAAGTCCACAGAATGTGTGTAGTTGCCCTAGGGTTCAGTATCTTATAACTGGGTGGTAATGTCTGACTTATACATTTTTATTTTAAAGCAATTTGGATTTTCATAGCTATCTAACCTTCAAGAAAGTACATTTAAAAATGAGTAAAAGTAATAGATTATTATTTTGTGAAATGTTAGAATAAGAATCCTAAGGAAGAAATTAATAAGAAAACTCTAACCAAATGACGTGAATTTAAAAAATAGTAATATGGATATTTTGACTTAATTCCCATAGGTATTTGGTTTTAATCTTAGCATTAAACTTTTTTCACTACTCTGTACTAACATAACTTCTCATTTTATACTACTATTTCATTAGTAATCACTTATCTAATTTGCTTTGTTATCAAAACAGAGAAAGCAGAATGGCAGTTCTGGGCAATAGACTCTGAAACAAATGTACTTAGTGAATAGATGGTATCATGAAAAGTCAGTTAATTCATGTTGAATGTCTTCAAAATTTAAATGTATCTCCATAACCAAGTCTGAGTTATATTATTCACAATCACTGGGACGACCCTACATGAATCTGCTCTTTGGCCAGCTCTTTGGCCAATCTGACTCTTTGGCCAATCTGACTTTGGACAAATGTGGCTGTGACTTTTTATACTTAACCTGAAAATTAGATAGGTTTATGTTCTGAGTGGAAACATATGTAACATCATGAAAAACAGTTTTTCTATGCTGTGAGTCAATAAAATAAAATGAAACTAAGACCATTTTGATAGTCTTGTTATTTATAATAACACAGCATGAGTTACTGCATTACTGTCAAGAAACATTGTCAATATGAAACAGAATCCTACTGAAGCAATCTTTTATTCAAGATTTTACATTCTCTACCAATGTGATCTTCATTAAATTGTAAGGGAAAGGATTATTGCACTTACTTAATCATATGTGGCACAGAAACTTTGGAATTCTCTTCAAACACTATAGTCATTAAACCATTACACCGTATATTGTCCACACACTGTGAAATTAAAAAATAGGCAATTACAACCCATGTGAAAACCTAAAAATATCACATATTTCCAAAATTGTTAATGCAAACAATTTTACTTTCACACACACACACACACACACAGTAGCAGAAGCAATGTGTAAATATTACACATTGATCAACAGATTTAATATTCAAATACCAAAACTGTCTATCAACCAAATACCTGAGGATACATATAGATTTTTTTTTTCTTCTGGAATGTGTTTCCCAAGATTTCTGACTACAGTATCACACTGTATTAATTCTCTGGCAGTCCTAACACTATAGAGGATTAGGTGATTGATCACCTATATTTATTACCAGTCAGTAAAGGGTAGTAGGGGCAGTCAGAGTAGAAATGGTAATTTCCTTGGATGGAATATTATCTTTCTCACTTTCCAGCTCTTTGCTTCCCAGGTGTTTTTGTTTTTGTTCTGATGAATTCCCATATTTTATTAGCAGTTTCCATTGGCACCATGTTGGTCTGGTGAGGATGCACTGTTTCTGGCATGCAAAAAGCCCTTTTCTTTTCTTCGTAAGAGGAAAACTTGGGAAATTTTGCTAATTTCCTTGACCTTCTTTGTATCTATGCCATAAAAATTTAAAATTTTCCCTTGCAATTACTTTGAGTTAGAGAAAGATTTATTTTGAATTACACATAATCCCTTTGAGTAAAGCAGAATTTTTTTTAAAATTACACAATTCTTAAAATCAGAAATTACTTCTAGTTACTAGGATAACATGTAGTGCTTTGTGACTGTGACAAAATGGTGTGAAGAAGCTTATTGCTAAGTGATCTCATTTAGGTCCTGAACTCATGGTCTCCCCTGAGTGAATATACAGATAGATAAATATAAAAGAGTCAATATGCAGATAGACAGACAGACAGACATACTTTGTGTCATTATTATCCCCTGTCTATTCAGTATACTTAGTATATCAGCTATTATCACACTTTTTTTCCCTTAAAAACTCATCCCTTTATGTTTCATGCCATTATTGCAGTGACTAGGAATAAAGGATCCAATCTTCCAAGAGGATCCATTTATCTGAGAATAAAGTGGACTATTTTAAACTTCTCCCCTTCAGTTCATTTTCTTAAACTCTATCACTTGGGAATAATTTGAAGATGTGTTTTTACATGAATAATTATTATTATCTAATATGGCTGTATGTGCTTATATGTGAATTTATATTCCATTTTATCCCCACAAATTAGATTACAAATACGAATAAGACAAAAATCAAGATGAATGACAAAATCAGAAATTTGGGAGAAGGGTTGAAGCAATAATATGAAGCCTGGAAATGAAACCACCATACAACTTTATGTTCAGAAGTCCCAAAAACTTATCAGAGGTGGGCCTCAGACGTAGCTGTGCTATGGAGCAGCCCACACACAGGGGACACATGACCAACTATAAAATGCACAGTCTAGTCTGAGACCAGAGAACTAGCTCATGGATACTCGTAAAGAAAAACCAAATAATGTAACGGACAATATCCTCAACTGTATGCTGACAAATTTTCTAAACTGCTGTTTATAAGCTCCCTCAACACTGGCTGATAAATACAATTCCAAAGAAGCCACTCTGTGTGAACCTCAAAGAGTGAGAGACAAAGGCCCCTCCTGTCTCAGCTGGTTCTAATTTCAAGCCCAGATTTCACACTCTCCAGAACAGGGTATGGACTGTTCCACAGGCTAAATAAATGCAGCTACTCATACCCTAGTTTGTATATTTTGAACAGTAGGAAGCTGGCCAGGGTATTCTTCCAAAAGAACTTAAGCTGACATATCCTGTGTCCAGCTATGTGGAGACAGTATTTCCACCAGTGACCCAATAGTATGTATGCTCCTGGTCTTAAGTAAGGCCACACTACCTCCAAGGGCCAGCTCTCAGTGAGGACCAGATATAATCAGACACCAATGAGCCCATTTAAAATGGGAACACCTGGGGCCTCCCTGGTGGTGCAAGGGGTTAAGATGCAACCTATGAAGCTGTCTGCAGCCTCTGTAGCATGAGTTCAATCCCTGGCAGCCAGGGAGCTACCCACATAGCGCAGCAGACCTCTCCTGACTAGCCTACTGTTCCCCTCAGCAGTGCACTTCGGTCAATCTGCCTGTTCTGTTCCCCGCTCTGTCTCTGGTGAATCTCTCACCCCCCACTCCTCTGGCCTGTACCCCAGCTCTTGTATGTATGAATAAATAAATCTTTAAAAAATAAAACAAAATAAAATGGGAACACCTGAGGGGAAAAATTGTATGTTGTGAGAAAAAATAAAAAAGGATAATTTTTTTTAAATGGTAACAAGAAAAAAAGGGAACATACATGGAAAAACAAAGAAATGGGGCTACCTAGTGCATGAGTTATTAATGGAGAAAAATTAAGAAAGGGGCCTAATGAAGTCAGTTGGAGTCAGGCCACAGGGTAAGGAATATTGAATTTGGATTGTATTTGGTAGACAGGTGGGAAATACTGAGGGTTTCTAAGTGGCCCATTTGTGTTGAGAGATCTACAGTTGGCTTCATGGAGGTATTCATTGGAAAAAGAGAGAGGTATAAATGGCCCAAGAGACCATAAGAACCATCTTCAGAATGCATTAATGAAATGATTCATGCCTCCTCCGAGGCAGATCAGGACTGTGAAGAGGAAGGGATGGAGATAAATGTTTAAAAGGAAGAAATGATAGAAACTGATGAGTTTCCAAATAAAATCAAGAGAAAAAGCAAGGTAAAAGTTTAAAATTGCCATTTTGCAATTTCAGAGCTTTCTGATATATATCTAGAATAAAGCATAGCCAAGTCTTTTGAAGAAGACAGAACTTAACCACAACTGTCTATCTTTTGAATTCTCAAGAGCATCAAAAGATGCACTGATTATATGTCACTGGGGATTTTAGTAAATGAGCCTGTATTTATTAAGTCCTTATTATTGTGACAGATACTGGGCTAAATTCTAGGAGATGAGCGCTGGGATAGAGAAAGATTCTAAAAGAGCTTCAAAGATAAATAAGGCAAATTTCTTCAAATTTGCTTTCGTATATCCAGTGGGGCAAAGGTATTATAATACTATCCCTGTCCCTATGAAAATATGGGGGGACACATTTTATGGGCACAGGGGTTGCACACAGACAAGGCTACAAGAAGCTCATGAGTGACACTTTGTCACAGTAATCTTTGCAGTCATTCCTCAGACTTTTCACTCTCAATGTTTCTGAAGCACCATAAGGATGCTATTTGGGTAACCAACCAAAACAGAAAATGGGAGGGCTGAGATGACGTTTGATGAGAATTATGGAAAATGAACAATGTTGCTTCAATTACCTTTAACATCCTAAGTAAATGGCATAATTGCACAGTCTTAGGACAATTTAGGAATATAGTTTCTAAGTTTAGACTTTCTGTTTCTTTGATACAAATCACCCTAGTCCTTTTTACTTAAAGAGATATTCTTTTCTCCTCTCTTCTTCCCTGCCTCCTTCCCTCCTTCCTTTAACTTTTTTTCTTGGTCTTTTCCAAGTTATCACCTTATCATCCATGGTTCTAAAATTACTAATTATACTGCTCACTGGGTCTTCCGACTCTTGCTCATGATAGATAATTTACTTATAATATATATAATGTTTTATTTTGTGCACATTGTCATGAGTCCTGAATGATAAAAGTATCGATAATGGGGTAATTCTGTGTTTGCTTCTACCAATATTCTTGGGATTTCAACAATCCAAAACTTGTTTTTACATTTATTTCTCAATTTGGAGTTTTCACATCATGTGAATGCTATAAATTTGAAGTTAAAAACCGTAGACAAGAAAAATACCCTTTTTTTTCCCAAAGGACATTTTGTTAAATGAACTATCCAAGACAAAGACAAACTTTATTATTTTTTTCCTGGGCCTATAAGTAGTTTTTTTTTTTTTTTAGTTCCAATTTCACAGATAGAACAGACTTTCCATGTTCAGCCTTTGAACAGGGATCTCAATTTCCTTAAGAGGGTCAAGACCTCTTCACTCCCTTTGTAAATAAAACTCAGGTTTGGAAACCATATGCAATCTAAAATCATTCTCAAGGCTCTATGTCTTTAATTTTCAAGCTTTCTGCTCTGACTTTAATATCCCTTATTATTTCTGGCAACTAGAATTTTCCTTTATGTCCATAAACATTCCCAATGTATTAAAAAGTTTTATTACACTGATTCTATGTGCTAAACATTTCTGTTTTGATAGTCTGAAGGAATCTAAGTCAGTTCAGTCCTTCACATTGGCAGAATTAGAACTTGAGAGAAATGCTTTAGATCCAAAAGAGATTTATTTGACCACTTTTAATATCTCATTGTCCAGTGTCAGATCTCATTCATAAATCTTCCTAATTTATTATGTGAAACATTAAAATTACTTTCAGTAGGAAGAAAAGGAAATTTTCACTTACATTCAAGTTTCAGGAAAATAAAACATGTGTGATCTAAACTGTAGCTCAAAGATCTTGTTATGAAAAATCACATTTTAATTATACAAAAAGATCTAACTGACATATAACCTTTAATTACATACAAACATACATATATGTATATATACAACATATTAAGTATAGTAGAGGAGTGGTTTTGAAATGGGCTCCTCATTTCTTCTTTTATTTTTATTTTTTAAACATCCTTATTTGCTTTTTTCACAATATAGGATTTCTCCCCTCAGTTGCAGTCATCATAGTTTTTCCAACACCAAAGTGACCACAGTTGCCCGCACTCCACTGGCTCTCTTTCCTCCCTGTTCTATACGCTCTCCCTTTCTCTCCCCCTCCTCCTCTCCTGGATATCTCAGATCTATGGTCAGTCTTAGAGTTTGTCTTTGCCTGATCCTTTGGTTTCTCTAGATTCCACATATACATGAAACCGTCTCTCTCCTTGGCTCCTCATTTCTTAAGGGCTCCACGTACAGGCTTTATTAACAACATGGGGTGACCAAACAGAACTTGTAGGGGCTCTGAATTC